ATAGATGAGGAAAATGAAATTTAGCAATAGCAGCATTGACATAGTTGTTTGTTCATTTGTTTTTATTTTACCTCATTTATAAAATATTTGAGAATTCTAAACTCATATGAATTTAATACATTGCTTTTTTAATGATTAAGAAAGAAGAATAAAACCAGAGTCATAAAGTAGAGCTAGCATAGATAGAGCAAACCAGGGCAAATGTTAATATGCAGATGTGCAGTCTAAATCGACCTCCCCTGATTCCTAGCATTATGTCATAAACTGGGTCTAAGCTTTCTGGAATCGTAAGTTTAAATGGAAAGAAGCCATTTACAAGATTCACATCCGTGAGGATGAGCACACCAGTTGTTTCAGAACAAAGAAGGCTTCCCTCCCGACAACTGAAAGAAACATCTTCTCTAGGTATTCATGAAGGCGGCGCATCTCATGGCTGCAGATCAGGCTCACCTGGGAATGTTAAAAAGTCCTCATGCCCAGGTCCCACCCAGACTAACTAAACAGCATCTTGGGGTGAAGGGCCAGGTGTCAGCATATTGTTTAAGAACTCCCCAGATGATTCTAACATGTAGCCAGGACTGAAAACCACTGACAGAGTAGATTTCTACAATGAATCCAAGAACCAGTTCCATGTGATGGGTGGTCTGAAGCCTTCTGTGTGCATCGTACAGCACAGTTTAGAAGCTGGATCGGAACTGGCTGTTCCCACCTGGTTTCTGATGTTCTTCCTGGACGTGGGAGGGAGCAAGGGAAGGGTGAAGGGCAAAGGACTTTAGAAAATGAAACTTAGATATATTGGGTATTACTCCCATGAGTGGAGTAAAGTGATAGGTAATTTGGTAGCTTCCGTATGGAAAGTGATTTCAAGAACACAACCTCAGTGAACTGGAAGCCGGTGGGAGGCTGACTCAGAACCTAACCACCCCCAATGGCCCGTGGCAAAATCAAAACCAGTTTTATTTTATGCATCCCCGCCTGCTACCTGTTTATGACTCATGATTATGAGAGGTGGGATGGCTTCATCCCTTTCCTGATATATTGGGCATCTCACCAAGCAAACAGAGAAAATAACAGCATTTCCAGAAGGGCTTGCAGTTCTGCTTTTTCACTGACTCAAGGTTCCCAGAACTCCCCTACTCAGTGTTTGCAAAGAAGATACTAAGGGGATGAAAAACTACCTCTATGAAAAGCTATCAACCTGCAGGCTTTTGGAAAATTATAGTCAGTTTTTTTTTTTTAATTTCACCAAGAATTTCTATGAAATAACCTGGCAATAGTAGATGTTTCTACAGGTAGCAACATGGAAAGTTTGTGGTCAGTGAGCGCTTTGTAGTTTTTCAGGTACTCATGTAGGCAACATTAAATTTGTTCTCTCAACTTCACAAGAGTGTCCACAGAAAGCAGAATGCCACACTTTTCGTTAGTTAGACAAAAAGAAGGAAATTTCTACCACACAAGGTGTTCCAAGCCTGATTGGCGATGGGAATCACCTGAGCCACTTGTGAAATACTCAGGTCCCTAAGCCTCACCTCCAGAAATGCTGACTCCGAGAGCTTAGTGAGGCCTGGGAATCTGGCTTTGTTTTTTCTTTTTGTTAAAATAATTGTCCCAGGTTTTTCTTCCTCTTCGATGACTTTGGGAGACTGTGCTTGAAGGAAACCCAGATAATGGGTTGGTTAAGAAGCAGCAAGTGTCAGGGGAAACATTTCCTTAAGTTTGAACTTTGAATGATCTTTTTTTTTTTTTTTTTTTTTTTGAGATGGAGTCTCACTCTGTCGCCCAGACTGGAGTGCAGTGGCCGGATCTCAGCTCACTGCAAGCTCCGCCTCCCGGGTTTTACGCCATTCCCTGCTCACCGAGTAGCTGGGACTACAGGCGCCCGCCACCTCGCCCGGCTAGTTTTTTGTATTTTTAGTAGAGACGGGGTTTCACCGTATTAGCCAGGATGGTCTCGATCTCCTGACCTCGTGATCCACCCGTCTCGGCCTCCCAAAGTGCTGGGATTTTGACTTAAGTTTTTCCCTCCTCCCCCAACATTCAGTAACATTAGGCAAGTTACTTAAAATATTTGGAGACAAAAATAGTCTCAAAATCCTGTAAAATAGGATAATTCTGTTGTCAGAATGTTAGCATCAGAAACAACAACAAATCTATATTTCACGGTGCCTACCTAATATGGCGCCAGGGCCACAGTAACTGCTTAATGTGTGGGAGTGACTATTAGCAATGACCAAGCAGCCAAATTGGGAACCACATCTGTAAATAAAAACTTGAAGCCCCGTCTCCAACCTAAAATAGCGATTCTCAATGTGGGGGGATTTGCCTCTAGAGGATATTTGTCACCATCTGGAGGACGTTTGTGATCGTCATGACTAGGGAGGGGCTACTGACATCTCATGGGTAGAGGCCAGGGACACTGCTAAACATCTTCCAGTGCACAGGACAGCCCCCACCACAAAGAACTGTACAGCTCAAATGTCGCAGTGTCACTACTGAGAAAACCTATCCCAAAGGTCCAATGAGACAAGTAAAAAAATCTTGTGGGACACAGAGGCATTTTGGGCAGAGAAGGAATGGCTCTGGATCACAAGGTGAAAGACACAGATGTGCCCTCTGGTAGTGCCTCCTAACAGGGCCTATTTGTTGCACACCCAGGGTCCACCATTCTTTGTGTAGGATACAATGCAACCAGCATCCGCTGGGGTTGTGCAGTGTGGCAGCACTGGCTTTGACACAGAGTATCACTTTGTGTGAATCTTCCACCCCGGAATCTCCCAGACACTTCATTAGACCAGGGAAGTGCCAGATTACAAGATCATCATTGGACTCACCTGGTGAAATTGTTAAAATTCAAATTTCTGGCTCTATTCCCTGGAGATTCTGCTTCAGGGTCCAATCAAGGACCTTGGAAGTCATATTTATAAAAATCACCTCAGGAGTAACTGAGTTACTCAACTGAGGTTCAAGAACTGAAGCACAGCTACAGCCAGGGTCGGGCCCTCTACGTTCTCCACCAACTCTGACCTTCAGGGCATCTGTGAGACCTGGAAAATGGAGAAATAAAGTCCCACCAGATACAGTGCCCTTCACCTCATACAAATTCACAGTTTTTGTAGGTCTGAGCTGTTTGGATTAATTTTATGTTTTCTATTTTTACTACTACTGCTGCCAGAAAAGAAATAAACAATAATAATGATTAACAGTAACATGTGTTATTGTCTGGAGGGTGTTTGTCACAGAATGTCAGGATTGACACCCTGTTGTTTAAGATTAAAATGGGGCTGGGTGCAGTGGCTCATGTCTGTAATCCCAGCACTTTAAGAGGCCGAAGTGTGTGGATCACCTGGTCAGGAGTTTGAGACCAGCCTGGCCAACATGGTGAAACCTCGTCTCTACTAAAATCACAAAAATTAGCCAGGCATGGTGGTGCACGCCTGTAGTCCCAGCTACTCAGGAGGCTGAGGCAGGGGAATTGCTTGAACCTGGGAGGTGGAGCTTGCAGTGAGCCAAGATCACATCACTGCACTCCAGCCTGGGCAACAGAGCAAGACTCCGTCTCAAAAAAATAAATAAAATAAAATAAAATAAAATAAAATAAAATAAAATAAAATAAAATAAAATAAAATGGAATGATCTCAAACATCATCCAAAGTGCGTGTCTCCACTCTTCCCCAGGGATTCTGGGGTAGGGAAAGCTTACCGCTCTCCCACTCACCTCCAACCTCAAGTCTCTGCTTCCTCTGACACTGCCCAGTCTTCAGATTCTCTAGTTATCTTTACCGGTGACTGTATTGACACACAGCGTCTTCTCCATCAGCACAGCTTCCACTTACACCAGGCCTCTGCATATAAAGTAGACGTAACTAAAAGTTTGGGAAGTTTGTGGGGACTCCTAACAGAAGTAACCTAACACTGACTCATGGATATCCTCTGCTGAGGAATTCTCTCTGCATTTCTGCCAGCTCAGACTGCAGGCATCTGCCATGTTGCTAGAATCTGGCTTCCAGGCCTCTTTCTTCCCACTCTGGATGACAAAATAAATGAATGAATGAATGAATAAATATTCACATTTATATGTAAGATATGTGTGCATATATGTGTCTTGGTGTTTATATTTATATGTAAATATATGCGTGTATATATATGTACACACTCACATACATATATATAAAAAAGTAAAAATTTTGGCAGAACCACTCAGTTCTCCCTTTGTCCCTTTGTTCTGCTCTCTCCTTATTGATCCCATCCTGGGGTTTGACTTTTCATTGCCTCGTGACCCACTAAAGGGTTTATTAGAACAAAGATAATCCCCTTCCTCATAGGAATTCTGTTGCCAGTTGCCGGAAAACTCAGAAACCCCACTAACCTAGCATTTGTGGAGTCTCCCATTGTTCCTGAGCACTGGACACACTTTGTTTCCTTTAATCCTCACTGGAACACTTTGACACAATTGTTGTTATTCTCCTCATTTTGTAGATGAAGACCTGAGCTTCAGAGAGATCCAGTTCATTGCTTGAGCTCCAATAGCGAGTAAAGCCTATAAGGACAAAGCAGGGACAAAATCCCTGATTCCCTCATTCTAAATCAGAACTTCCCCTTCTTCAGATAGTCCTCTATCCTGGATGCACATTAAAATGAGGGGCTTTAAAAACATCAATGCTGGGCCTCCACCCTTGTACTGTGGGGGTGATGCCCAGGCAACTGCATATTTAGAAAGCTTCCCCTGTGATCCTAAAATGTAGCATTGCTCAGCGGCACATTCGTTCCAGCATATCAACCTTCCAGCCAGAGGAATTGAGTACTGTCACACACACAAAGGCAAAGGCAATGCTCCCAGCTTTTCTGGACCACAGAATATGCACCACCCTGCAACCTCACCTAACCTGCTTCTAAACGTTGTTTTCAGACCCCAATTTGATAACATTTCAGATGACCATTTACTTGTCCAACAGGTCTTTCCACGATCCTACTTTTCCTTATCCTCTTTTTCCTCTTCACAGGCATAAAACGGCGCTCTCACAGCTCACCAGCCCCAAGCACCAGCTCCACGAGTCGCCTTACATTGCCAGGTGGGTAAACAGCATTGCTCCATTATCTTAGGGACCACAGACAACGGAAAGGACTAGTTTCTCGGGAATTGAGTTGATAAACTGAGAACCTGGCCCCATAGTTATCCAGTCTACTCACATTATCAGAGAGCTTTGTCTCTGTCACCCAAATTTGTGAGGTCCCTCTAGGAATGGGCATAAATATTTCTATAGTTGGTTCACAATCTCCCCCACTCGCCTATGGAAAAAATAGAATTTTGGTCCTCTTTGATGTTCATCTGGACATGTTACGGAAGGATCTGCCTTTTAGAGGCAGATAGTGCAAAGGAAGTAGTGTGAGCCTGTGGTGAGATTGAGACCCAGGTTTAAATCTCGGCTTTGCTGTGTTCAAATTGTGTGCTCCCTCACACGTGCTTCTTCAGCTTCTTGGAACTTCTGTTTTCTCATCTGTCTAGGAAAACATAAGAATTAGAAACAATGCTTGTAAATTTAGCCTAGTATTGACAGAGTGCTCACAATAATCTCTACCATTGAGAAATATGGAAGGCATGTATGACCTCTGTTTGACCCAATCTAACATGTACTGGCAAATCATAAGTATTCATGAGGATCGAGTATGAGTATTGTTTAATGTAAGGGGCACCTATTGATCATTCTGTCTCCATGCATGTGCTTACATTCTCAACTATAATTTAATTTTTATTTAATTTTAACAAGCAGAATTTGGAAAAGCGTATCTGTTTGGGGTAAGGAAAGGTTATAAAAGATAAATACCATCAATGAAGAAAATTTTAAAAACAATACATTTAAGAAGGAAAATTGTCTCCAATAATGCTACCACTCAGAGTTAACCAAGATTACCTCTCCTTCCAGTCTTTATTAAATGCTTTTTCTCTAGATTTGAATTAGAGTAATACTTTATGTAGAGTTTTGTTTCCTTCCTTTTAAAGCTTACCACTACATTAGGAGATTTTCCTCATGTTATTAAGTACTTTAACAAGTATTTCAGTAATTGACTAACATTTCTATGACTATGCTACAGTTTATTTATACATCTATTGATAATTTAGCATTTATATAACATTCATTTTATAAGTGACCTTACATTCTTGTACATAAATCTTCTGAGTCTGTAAGTATGGATTTACCATAGGTTCCTCTAGGTAAGGTTACTGGCTCAAAGAATACATACATATTTAGGTTCCTGACACATTATTACCAAAGTGATTTTCAGAAAGATGGTATTAATGTATGGTTTTAGCATGAATTTGTCCCTTTCACGATCCCCTTGCTAATGCTAAACATTATTTTCAATACCTTACTGATTTGATAAGAAAAAATGATATCTGCATTTGGTTTGAATTTATCTTTCTATTTTAAAAAACTTTTTTTTTTTAGTGTCAATTCACCTCTACATTTCTCATTTGGGGAATTACCACATTTCATCCATTCTGAGAGGCACATTGCCTTGCATCTTAACCCATTTTAGATTGGGATGTTTTGCAGTCAATGGTGTGTGATAATTCAATTACCAGCATTTTTTTTTCTTGGTTGTACATGAAAAAATAGTTCATTTTACAGTTAGTGGCATTTTAAATGAAATATGACTTATGTATGCCTGCTTTTTTAACTTCAATTTCTGTAGCTCCCTCACCCAAGTCAAACAAGTGGACTCTGCATCCGCTGAATAACCCTTGAACTTTTCTTACCTCTGTGACTGCCCCGGATTCTCCTTATTCTCATCTTCCCTTTATTAATTTCTCTTTGCAGTCCTGTCAAAATCATCTAGGTGGAATTAACAGTGCACTACAATGGTTTGCTTATAAATCCTGTTGTCTATTGATAGGTGGCTTTTTCCATGATGAGGACTGTGTTATTCCTTTCTGCCGCCAGTGCTGCCAAGGTGGCAGGCACTTATTGGGTGTGCATTAATGTTTCTAAACTGGGTACATGGTGCATGAGTGAGCAGCCTCCCATTTAGTTTATGACTACACAGAAGGGAATCATCCTCATAAAAAAAGGCTCATCTTAAAGTTTGGGTTTGCTCAACTCTACTAACTTGCTTTTAGTAGTGAGGAGACGTTGCTCTGTAGTCTCTGGAAGCCCCTCACATCTTGTCTCTGCTTGAGGTTATTATGCTCTTGGGACTACAGAGCATCAGGAGGAAATCAGCTTTTTTTTCTTTTTTTTTTTTTTTGAGATGGAGTCTCGCTCTGCTGCCCAGGCTGGAGTGCAGTGGCGTGATCTCGGCTCACTGCAAGCTCCGCCTCCTGGGTTCAAGCCATTCTCCTGCCTCAGCCTCCCAAGTAGCTGGAACTACAGGCGCCCACCACCACGCCTGGGTAATTTTTGGTATTTTCGGTAGAGACGGGGTTTCACCGTGTTAGCCAGGATGGTCTCGATCTCCTGACCTCGTGATCTGCACACCTTGGCCTCCCAAAGTGCTGAGATTACAGGCGTGAGCCACCGCGTCCAGCTGGAACTCAGCTTTAAACCAAGCAAATCCAGTGTGAAGTGATGGTGTTTGCTCCTGACAAGGTCATAACCTTGCTAGGTCAGGTGGGACTTCTGAGGGCATCCTTGTCACCTCCAAGAATATGCAGAGCTGTCCTGGGACCCACTTGCTCTGCTGGGGACTCAGGGATGGCCACTGGGTTCCCAAGGCCTCTGACTCAGAATCACAGCTACCTTGTCTTTAGCCATCCAAAATGGTCCCAAAAGGAGTGTCTTAGGCTCTGAGTTCTGAGCATCTCCAAAGCCTACAGGGTGGTAAAACACACTCCTCTGCCCTACAGGACTTGAGGGATGGTCAGAGGTGGAAGTGGGTAGTTCTCAAAACACCAGACATAATTAACCTGTGTAACTGCTACTACACAGTGTGCAGATTGACACCGTAGGACAGAAGCTGCAGGGCAGCTGTGCTCCACATCCTGAGGGGTGTAGGGAAGGAGTTGGAATCATGCTTTCACTAGCAGATGTGCTCACCACCTCATTGCAATACCCAGCTCTCTGCTTCCCTTCTTGCCTCAGGAGCATCACAGATGCCTCCCTCTGGCTTGTGTGCCATGGGGTCCCCTCCCCATGCATGCTGACTCCTGCTCACAGCTCCATCTTACCATCTCACAGCTGTAGAAGAGATGACTCTTCTGAATGACCACCAATAGAAACTTTTTAAAACCTTTGATTTTATAGCCAGTGAATGGATTTAGTTGGAATTTTAGGGTTTTATATTTCCACAACACCACCTACATGACTAGATTCAGTGCAGTCAAATCAATCTGCTGTAGGCTGATCAAATTCAGTCATTAGGAGATGAAAACATTTGCTGTTAATTCCAGTCAAGATGGTTGAGTAAGTTCATTTTTTGACAAACACTCTTCTGCTCAAACACATGAAAAGGTAGGTAAAATTATAACAAAAAATGTATTTTTAAAAGCTAGTGCCAGAAACAAACAACTCTGGGAACCAGAAAAAAAAGAAAACTACAGAAGCCCTGGGACAGCTGTGATCCATGTCCTGAGTAAGGAGTGGTAGGAAGGAGCTTGAATCCTGTGGAGCAAAAGGGACTATAAGTGCTTCAGAGGACACTGGTAATCAGAGCCTGGGCTATAACCTGAATACAGGGCATGGGGTGGACAGGCTGAAACAATTGCTGCCAACCTGTTTCTTCCAAGCTACAGCTTAATAATATTAACAGGAAGCTGTTGGCCTAGAGAGATGGATGGATATTGGGACAGCTTTTCTGCCAGACTAAGCTAGCTTTGGAATTGGATCTGCAATATCCCAATATGATTATAGAGCATTAGTCATAAAGTGCCATTATAAGGCTCTGTAGTGGAAGTTTAAGAGATGAGGTGGAAGTAACTACAAAACTCTAGACAGGCAAGAGAGAGAGAAAGAACACAAAACCCAAATATCTTCTACTTGAAATTAGCCAAAATGTCACAGGCAACAAAAGAAGCAATAGATAAATCGGACTTCATTAAAATTAAAAACTTTTTGTACATCAAAAGATACATTAATACAGTGAAAAGGCAACTGAATATGAGAAAATATTTTCAAATTATATATTTGATAAGGGGTTAATATCCAGATATAGAAAAGATATAAAGAACTCTGGCAGCTCAACAGCAGCAGCAACAACAACAAAAAAAGCAAAACCCAATTAAAAAATGGCCAAGGGACTGGAATAGACATTTCTCCAGAGAAGATCTACAAATGGGCCAATAAGCACATAGAAAGATGCCAGTCATTAGGGAAATGCAGATCAAAGCCACAATGAGATGCCACTTCACACCCATTAGGATGGCTACCATAAAACACAAACAGAAAACAGCAGGTATTCGTGAGGGTGTGGAGAAATGGGAACCCTGGTATATTGCTTCTAGGAACATAAAATGACACAGCTGCTGTGAAAAATGGTCTGGCCAAAGGCAAAGTCAAGAAGCAGGGAAGTGTGGCTTGCCAGGGGGAGGAGCAGTACAGGTTAGAAAGCAAGGGGCACAGGTACAGGAGGAAGAATTGGTGCCAGTAGCAGAGTGTACCGCAGAAATCAGCAACTGGAACATGAATTTCTTCCAGAAGGAGTTAATTTTTGGTGCAGGCTTTTAAACACTTTAAAATGTAATTAGGATACTCAAAGAGCCAAATGGAGGAAAAATTATCCTAAAAACAATAAAGAAAAATTGTACAGAAACCAGGAAGAGCAGAGATCATGTAAAAAAAGTGATTCAAAATCTGAAATTTTAAAAAAGGAAGCAAACATATAGTCATTACAATTTTAAAAAAGAAAAAAACTATCAGTTGATAGTATAAATTCAAGGTAGAACACCGTGGAAAAGATAATTAATGTTGGAGGATAGTCCTGAGGACTTTACATCAAATATAGCATAGAGAGGGAACCATATTAAAAAATGAAGGATTGTGAACCATAAAATTCTTAGAAGGAAACAGCTGGGCGCGGTGGTTCACTCCCGTAATCCCAGCACTTTTGGAGGCCAAGGCAGGCGGATCATTTGAGG